TAGTTTATCTCTGTAACTTTTTGAGGATTTACTCAACATATTGCATTCTATACAAATAACTTATCATAGTCTACTGATGCCAACATTTCAACAGTTCCAGGAAAGCTTATCTCCCATTACAGTGTTTCATAATTCCCTATTTGTCTTAAATATTTCTAAATATTTAGATATTGAAACATTTAGATATTTAGATGTAGAACTACATCAGAAAATGTAATTTTTCTTCAATCATAAACATCTCAAAAGTAGGAAGTTATATTTTATTTAATTCTCCACCTTGTCCCTTTTCTCCTTTCTGATGCTCCAAAATTCCTTCTTTTCACATTTTCTTCCTATTTAGGGGAATTTCTTTAGCTATTCTTAGGGATTTTTTTTCTCTTTGGTCGGGGGGAGAGACACTCTCTTAGTATTCTGCAGTCTAAGAATATCTTAATTTTCCTTTATTTTTATAGGATATTTTCACTGAGTGTAGAATTCTGGGTTGACACCTCTTTTCATTCAACATTAAAAGAATGTGGGCTACTTGCTTCTAGCATCTTTGGTTTCTGATAAAAACCCTACTGCTACTGAAATTATTTTCCCTCTATAGATAAGATATAATTCCTTTTTCACTGCTCCCTAGATTTTTTTCTTCTATTTTCAATAGTTTCAATATGTTTCTTGTTTATATTTCTTTGGGTTTATTCTCCTTCAGCTTCATTTAGTTTCTTTAATCTTTTGTTGTTATTTGCCAAATTTTGAAAGTTTTCAGCTATCATTTGTTCAGGTACTTTTTCCATCATACCTTCTTTCTCCTCTTCTAAAATGCCAATGATAATGTTATACCTTTTGTTACAGTCCCACACATCCCTGAATCTCTGTTCACTTTTCTCACACTATTTTCTCTGTTTTAAAAATTAGATTGTTTCTATTATACTTTCTTCAAGTTTATTGATTTTTGTCCCTCTACTTCTCTCCATTCTGTTGTTGAACCCCTGACTTGTTGAGCCCCTGATTTGAGATTGTGGATTTGTTCATTGTATTTTTTCATTTATAAATTTTCCATTTGATTCTCTTTATTTGCTAAGATGCTCTATTCCTTTGATGATACTTCCTAATTTTTGTATGCTTCAAGTGTGTTCATAAATACTGTTGAGGCATTTTTATGATGCCATTTTGATTTTTTTAACAGATAAAATCTACCATCTCTCAGTGTTAGTATCTATTCTTTTTTGTTTGTTTGTTTGTTTTTTAATTCAAGTTGAGATTTTTTTTTGGTTCTTGGTATAGTGAATGTCTTTCAATTGAATCCTGGATATTTCATGTATTGTGTTAGGATTCAGATCTTTTTAAAACTTTCCATTTTATTAGGCTTTTTTTTTTTTTTAAGACACTATGCTAGCAGGGGAAAATATGAGTCATTTGCCTGATTTCTACTAAGTGGGAATGGAAGTCCAGATTTCCCACTTGGTTTCCTGTGATATCCTCATCACTGCTGAGTAGTAATGGATGCTCTGAGTTCCATTGATACCTTGTGACTAGCAAGTATAGGATTGTCTTATTACAGAGTCACATGTGGCCTCCATTGACACTACAGAATGGAGGTTGTGTTCATTACTGCTGGGCAGTGATAAAAATTCTGATTATCCATTAGTCCAACAATGATTACTCCAGCAGGGTGGGGAAGGGAAAATTTGTTACTTCCAGATGAGTGTAGAATTCTAGGCTCCCCAACTGTTCTTTTCTGATACTTTCTTTATGTTTGGTGGAGATGATTATCCTGACTTTATTGTGCTTTCTCTGATACTGCACATAGTAGAAGGTCAGAGGATTGAGGTACCTTGTTACAACTTTGTCAGTATGAAAGTCTAGGCTCCCACTTTGCGTTGGTGGCTTGGAAGAGGTTAAAGTTTTATTTGTTTTGTTTTTGTAGTGTTTGGCTGGAGTAAAATGATTGTCATCTAAAATCTCTCTTTCTTGGATGCTCCTTTTCTGGTCCTTTGGATAAAGAGAATAGGCTTCTGTGGGCATTTTTGTCTATGCCCAATGGCGTTTCCAAATTGCTGGCTTGGGAATGTATGAAACAAAAAGAATACCCCAGGAATTCACCACTGTATCATTCCTTGCTTCTCAAGTATCCTCCTACTTGTTTTCCCCTTTTGTCTCTTCCCTTCAAGGACTCCTTATTTTTTATTACATATAAAATTTCCAGTGTTTTTAGTTGAATTTAGCAGGTGGAATAGGGTAACGTTTTCACAGAAGTAGTAATACCTGCCAGCCCTTTTTATATTTTTCTTTTTGTTTGTTTGTTTCTTAAGAGACAGGGCCTTGCTAAGTTGCTTAGGGCCTCAATAAGTTGCTGAGGCTGGATTTGAACTTCCAATCCTCCTGCCTTAGCCTCCTGAGTCACTGAGATTACAGGCGAGCACCACCACACCCAGCTTCCTTCATTCTGTTTAAGAGTTTATTAAACAGAGTAGTAGGCAGAATTATGGTCCCCCAAATTTGTACGCATTCCAATCCCTGGAGTCTCTCAGAGTACCTTACATGGTAAGAGGATTACCTTACATGATAAAAAAAGTTTTTTCAAAGGTGATTACAATAGGATCTTCAGCTGGGGAGATTATCTTATCTAAACTAATTGGGCCCAACCTAAACGTGTGAGTACTTAAAACTGGAGGACCTTTCTTAGCTTGGTCTGGGACAGAGATGTACTGACAGAAGAAGGTCTAATATGCAATGTTTCTGTGTTTGAACATGGAGGAGAGGTTGTGGGAAACCTCTAAGGAGCTGAAAAAGTCCAGGAAACAAATATTTCTCTTGAGTTTCCAAAATGGAACATTGTTTATATCAACTCCTTGGTTTTGGTTCAGACCTCTAACCTACTGAACTAGAAGACAGTAAATTTGCCTTGTTTTAAGTCACTGTACTTTTTTTTATAGCAGTAATAAAAAAACTACTACAGAAGGGTAGTGTTTCCATAAAACAATCATCAAGTCAGAATTTTATTATATAAAGACTGATAATTTTACTTCAATGTTAAGAAGTTTGAATGTATCACCCCAAGTTTAGTTGTTGGAAACATAATCCTGAAATCCATATTAATGATATTCGGAAGTTTGGCCTTTGGTAGGTAATTTGAGTTAGATGAGATCATGAGGGTGGGGCCCCAATGGTAGGATTAGTGGCTGTATAGGAGATTGAAGGCAGACCTGAGTGCATGCTTCCTGTCTCTGGCCATGTGATGCCTTCTGTCATGTCATGAAACAGTAAAAAAATACCCTCTATAGGTGAAGCTTCTCAAACTTGAACTTAACAGCCTTCAGAATTGTAAGAAATAAGTTTATTTTCTTTATAAATTTCCCAGTTTATGGCATTATGATATAACAACAGAAAACACACGAAGGCAGATACACATTATTTCAGGAGGTTATCATTACTTCCCTTTTGAAAAACAGCTTTTTTTTATGGTTAAGAAGTCCAAAAGAAGTCAATATATGTTTATATTGCATTTATTTATATAGAAAACATTTTAATAAATGTCTGTTAAAGTTGTTGGAAACTGGAGGAAAACAAATTGATATGACAACATGTCATTTTTGAATTTTTAGAATGTGTGAACCATCTAGTATTATTTAGATATTTTATTATTGTATCATGTTTGCATTTTGCAGGTAGTGAAGCTAGTTCTCTTATGGATATAGAAAATGTAATTATGTCTAAAATCCATGATGATGAAGAGGACCACTCAGATGCAATATTAAAATCTGATAAATTTCATCAAGATTTATTTTTCATGGAACGTGTTCTAATGGAAAATATATTTCAACCCAAACTTGCAGCTTATCGTCAACTTCCTATTTTAAAAGGTATTTTAAAAAAATGATTATGTTTAAATAAACTCAAATAACTTAAGAAATTTAAAAGGTATTTTTACATATTTCTAAATCTAATCTCCAAGCTGGGTTGTTACTTATTAGAGGACATGTTTATACAGTTTTCAATACTATACATGTAAGTAGCAGTGAAGTCCAGGTTAGGGAACCAACAGAAGGTTGTCTCAGATTCAAAACTTCATAAGCATGTATAAGGAACTGAACAGACCTTTCTCAAAAGAGAAATACAAATAGTCAACAAATATATGAAAAATGTTCAACTTCTCTAGTAACTAGAGAAATGCAAAATAAAACTACATTGATTTTTGATCTCACTCCAGTCAGAATGACAACTATCAAGAATACAAGTAACAACAACTGTTGGCATTCCCCAGAAAGAATACAGGTAACAATAAATGTTGGGTTCTGCAGAAAGGGAATACTCATATATTGTTTGTGGGACTGCGGATTGGTGCAAACCATGCTAGAAAGCAGTATGAACATTCCTCAAAAAACTAGGACTGGAACCACCATTTGACCCAGTTATCCCACTCCTTGGCATATATCCAAAGGATTTAAAATCATCTTGCTACAGTCACATCAATCTTTATAGCAGTACAATTCACAGTAGTTAAGCTTTGTAATCAACATAGATACCCATCAACAGAAGAATGGATAAAGAAATTGTGGTACATACACACAATGGAATATTACCCAGCCATAAATAAGAATGACTTTATGACATTTGCCAGTAAATGGTTGGATATGGAGACTATCATGCTAAGTGAAATAAACCAGTCCCAAATAACCAAAGGTCAAATGTTTTCACTGATATGTAGAAGCTAAACCACAATAAAGGGTGGGAGGGGAAGAAGAGAATTTTTTTATATTAGACAAAGAGATATAAAAGAAAGGGAAGGAAATAGGAGTAGGAAAGGCAATAGAATAAATCTAACTTGATTTTCCTGTGTACACATGAAAATACCTAAGTAAATCCCACTATCATGCCTGCCCATAAGAATGGGGTCCGAACCAGAATAAAATATATTCCATGTTTGTATAATTTTATCACAATGTATTCTACTGTCAAGTATAACTAAGGAGAGTCTATTCCAAAAAAAAAAAAAAAAAAAAACAACTGCCAAAAACCTTTCTAAGCATCTTTGGCTCTTTATATTTCTGCATTCAATTAGTTGCTTACTTTCACAGTATCTCTCATATTCAATCTCCCTTTTCCATTGCCATTGATACTTTTCAGTTTTTGACTTTTATTACCACTTCCTAGTTTTATTTCAGGGACATTCTTCCTATTCTCGTTGCTGCAATCCCATCTCATATATTCACAGAATATTTAATTTTTTATTTTTGGTGGTGCTGGGCTTTGAACCAAGGCATGCTAGGCAAACACTCTACTACTGAGCTACCTATACCACAGCCCCTAGAATATCTTTTAAAAATTTAGAGATTTATCCTATTCAGTCTTTCAGTATGAGAATGAAGAAAATGAAACCTTTAGAAACTTTTTAAGGTTACATTTAAGTAACTAAGTTAAGCATTCAGTTCCTGTTTCTGCTATGGCATCCTGCCTTGCTGATATATCCTGAACATGATATGGAAATTCATTACTCAAAAATCTTCAATACATTCCTATTGCCTAGAATAAACTACAAACCTCAGAGTATACCATTCAAAAGATGCCTTCAATGATGCCAGAGACTACTTTATATCTTGGTATTACTTTAGAGACCCTAAATTTAGCTATACTAGACTTACTGGATAATCCCCAAATAGAACCTAAGCTTTCCTGCCTTAAGACATTTAGTTGGAATTTGCTTTGCAATCCACCCTTGACTCTGCCTCATCTTTGCCTATTGTATTCAAATATGGATTACAACAAATTCCTTCATGAAATTTTTCTTGATCCTTCAAGGCAAAGTTAATCTTACATATGGTTACATCAAAAGGTTGGGTTACAAAATAATATGTATAACAAATGGTAGTAAACCATTTTACCTGGATACTTGTAGAAAAAATATTGAAAAACTATGTTTCTCTCTCACCTTGGTTGATATTTTAAAATTTTCATTATATATGTAAATTTTCATCCTGTATTTAAAAATTGTATGATTGCAATGTAGAGTATCTAAATACTGAATTTATAAAGCAAAAATTTTGATTTATCACTCCTTTAAATACATTTAGTGATACTTAGTAGTCAGGTTTATCCCAACAAAATACAGTAACAAATATTTTCAGTGAAATGTATATATTTTAACTGTATTTTTTATACATTTGAAGATTATGAACTTGAATAACCAACACCCTAATCAACACATACAACATATTCACCAATCCTGAAGATTACCTTGTGCTTCTAAATAAGGTTTACCTGCTTTCAGACAAGAATTGACCTGATTTCTGTCACTGCAAGTTAACTTTATCTATTCTGGCATACCATATAAATAGATGGATTTGAATAGTAGGTATTCTTTTGAATCTGATTTCTTTTACTTAACATCAATGTTTTTGAGATTTATCTAGGTTGATGTGTGTATAAGTAATTTGTTTCTTTTCTCAGTGGTGTTCCAGTGTATGAATATACCATAACAACTTGTTGCTCCTTTTGCTGGATGTCTGCGTTGCTTTCAATTTGAGGCTATTATGTACAAAGCTGCTATGTGTGTTTTTGTATGAGTCTTTTGGTAGACAGCTTTTAATTTCTCTTGTACAAATACTTAGAAATTATTGGGTCATTGGGTAGATGTATTCTTAATAAACTATGAAATACTTTTCCAAAGAATTATACCATCTTTCATTCTCACAAGCAGTGTGTAAGAATCCCTGTTGCTCCACATTCTTCATAACACCTGATGCTCGTGATTTTTTTTTCCCCATATTTCAGCACTGGAGATGGGACAATCCAGGGATGCTCTTCCATTAAGTAACATTCCTAACCCATTTTATTTTGAGAGAGGCTACTGAGACTGGCCTCAAACTCTTGATCCTCCTGCTTCAGCTTTCTGCATCATGGAATCACCAGCATGTGCCACAACACCAGGCTTGACTGGCAATCTTTTTTAATGTTGTCCTAAAGACAAATAATATTGAGTATTTGTTTATGTGGTTAATTTTGGTCATTTATATATCTTTTGTTTAATGTTTAATCCAAGCTTTTGCCCACTGTAAAATTGTCTCTTTAAAGATCATGTTGTTGAAGCTTACTTTTATATATTTTGCATATAAACTCTTTGCCAGTACATATATTACAAATATTTTCTCTAACTCTCTGGCTTATCAATTTATTATTTTTTATATCTCTTGATCAGGCTAGGGGTAGCTGAAAAAAATCTCGTGATGAGCAAGTTTTAATTTTGATAAAATATAATCTATTATTTTTTTTAAGTTAATTCTTTCCATGACCTCTCTAAAAAATCTTTCCTTGTCCCAGGGTTGCAGTGATTTCCTTTTAGGCTTTTTCCTAAAAAGCTGTATAGTTTTAGCTTTTATGATTATGTCTATTATGTATTCTGATTTTTTAATGTTTTTATTCTTAATAAATTTCATTGTATATATTTAAGATATACAACAAACTATGAGATACATATATAGTGAAATAGTTATGGTAAGATAAATTACTGTCACATTATCTATTTTGATTAATTTTTGTGAGTAGAGTAAGATAAATTTCAAGTCTGTCGGTCTGTCTGTCTGTCTGTCTCTCACTCTCTCCCCTTGCATGCAGTTCTTTCAGCAAAATTTTACAGTTTTTTCAGATTTATTAATTTGAACTTTATAGTGATACTTAGTAGTTGGGTTTATCCCAACTCATAAATGCATGGAAATGGATTTCAGTCCATTATCCCCCACTTTTTCCTCCCATCCTCCCTCCCCTCTCTTATTTTTCTTCTTCCGTTCTATTTGACTTACTTTCACTTGTCTAATAAGTTATATTTGGTTGGTTCTTTATATTATTCTGTCTTTCCCTTCCCCTTTACTTTTTTTAGCATTAGATTCTGCATATAAGAGAAAACATTTAACCTTTGCATTTCTGAGTTTGGCTTATTTCCCTTAGCATTATATTCTCCATTTTCATCGATTTACTAGAAAATACCATAATTTCATTCTTTTTTTGTGGCTGAGTAGTATTCTATTGTATATGTGGACCATAGTTTTTTATTCGGTTCATCTATTGATATGCATCTGGATTGATTTCATAATTTAGTTATTGTGAACTATGCTGCTATAAACATTGACATGGCTGTGTTGCTGTAGTATGCTAGTTTTAGATCTTTTAGGAAAATACCAGAGAGTAGGATAGCTAGGTCATATGGTGATTTCATCTCTAGTTCTTTGAGGAATCTTTATGCTGCTTTCTAGAGAGATTGTACAAGCCTTTCCCACTGACAATGTACAAATGTAACTTTCCCCAAAACCTAGCCAGCATATATTCTTGATCATTGCCATTCTGAGGGAATGAGGTGAAATCTTAGTATAGCTTTGATTTGTATTTTCCTGATTGCTAGAGATACTGAAAATTTCTTCATATATTTGTTGGCTATTTGTGTTCTTTTGAGAAGTTTCTGTTTAGTTCTTTTGCCCATTTATTGATCTTTTTAAATTGAGTTTTTTGTATATTCTGGATGTTAATCTCCTGTTGGAGTAGTAGCTAGCCAAGATTTTGTCTCATTCTGTAGGCTCTCTCTAAAACACTCTTAATCACTTTCTTTGCTGGTGCAGAAGCTTTTTAGTTTGATGGCATCCCATTTATTGATTCTCAATTTTATTTCTTACACTTTGAGTGTCTTGTTAAGAAAATCAGTGCCAGCACCTATATGATGGAGTGTTGACCCTATGTTTTATTCTTGCAGTTGTAAAGTTTCTGATTTAATTTCTAAGACTTCAATCTACTTTTATTTGAGTTTTGTGCAGGGTGAGAGAGTGGGGTCTAATTTCATTTTTCTACATATAGCTATTCAGTTTTCACAGCATCATTT